GGAACAAGCTAAGGTCTGTCAGTTAAATCATGTTCTAATAAGTTTTAATTGACAGATGATTTAGAACCAGTTGAGTTTCCAGAGCAGTCCCAGAGGTGATGAAGTCCAAATAATTCCCGGCACAATTTCCGCTGCGAGGCTGAGAGTACACAAGCATACTGTGAGGTACACGCTTCATTATGGCTGGCATTTTCCTCTGCTCCGGCAGGATTCCAAGGAAAAAATAAATCATATTTGGTGGGACACAGTAGAGTGAGTTTCCCTTTTTCAGTTTTCTTGTTTAATATAGTTTAATTCTCTAAGGAGCACAAGAAAGCAAGTGTCCAGAAGGCCTTAACATATTCATACTTGATCTATCTGCATTCCTCTAGATCTACGTCTAAATACACATACATGTACATATATAATGTTTTAGCCTGTAGTCCAATTACAGTCTACTCATCAAGTAATTATAATGAGTTAATGAACCTTGTAATGAGTAACACTCCAAGTGTTTAATTTCTAAATAACAAAAAAAAAATCAATTTTTCCCATTCAAGCATAATCGGAAACACAAATGATCTTTTTACATGACATGACATAGCTCATGACATTCTGCAGGCAAATTTCGTTTCATTTCTTTATTTATTGCAACAACAGTTCAGAATTTATTTATTTTTTTAGAAAGATGGTTTTGCGCAGAGGGCAGCTGTTAATATGAAATGTAGTTTTAGTTGCACCTCAGCTCATTGGATAAGTTAAGAGATGCCCAGCATTTTAAATACCATTCTGAATCTAGCACCGTTATCCAATATTCAAATTCCTATTATTATTATTTTGCATGAAAATTATTTTTTTTACATGAATCTATTTGTTAAAAAAAAAAACAATTGCACAGTTATAGCTTGGGTTGTGGCAGGAAGGTCATCAAGGATAAACCTGCCAAATCAAACATGTGGAGCGGCACGCTGTGGTGACGTCTTGTGGCAAAGAAGCAGCTGAAAGTAGCCATAACTCATAATTGCATTAACATTTGTAAACCTTTTAAAGAAACAACAAGACTAATGTGCTGGGTTTTTGTTTGTTTGTTTGTTTGTTTGTTTTTAAAGGCACATCTGTGTTGCAAGTCACAGCAACCGATGCGGACGACCCCACCTATGGAAACAGTGCCAGAATAGTCTACAGTATCCTACAAGGACAGCCATATTTCTCTGTTGACCCCAAAACAGGTATGGCATAACTGCATGCTTGGTAAAATAATGCATCCGTGCTCTTGAAAGCATGGTAACAATGAGTTATAAATGGGAGGTATAACTTTGATGTCGATCTCCTAAAATGATGTGTGCGTCACGCTGTGAAGTCTTTGCTTCTCACAGTGGAACATCCTGTTCTGTTATTGCAGCACGTCTCATATCGTAAAAGCTAAAGCAGCCACAGCAGAGTTATGGACTGCTCATACAGTGCAACTGCTGTATTGTTGAGCATGCCATCCACTTTTTGTGAGCAATAACTGACTCCTCAGGGGTCAAAGGAGGCATTTGTTGAGATGCCTTCAGAAGCCATTGTTTCTTACCTTTTTTGAAAGGGGTTGGCGGGGGCCGCACAGCAGGCAGCGCTCAGTGTTTTTCAAAATCTATTTTTTGTCCAGGGAGGCTAATAGAATCTATTAAATGTTAATAAAGCATCTAAAGTGCAAGACATATATAACTTTTATATAATGTAAAAAAGCACGGAGGACTGTGCATGTGCATACATGTCTGACGTTTTGCACGCTTGCCTCTGTTGCTCCTGCTGCTGTTGGTTAACATGAACAACACTCTACTTGTAGGAATTGATTCATTGCTGTCTGGAACAAGTATTGGTCCCTTTGAGACCATACCGCCCATGTAAAACATGAATTCTTTGCTAAATTAGCAACACAAATAAATTGCTGAATATTTTGGATTTGCCTCGAGGGAAAAGGCAGTGGGGATTGATGGAGCAATTTCACAAGGGTGTGGTGATTCAGAAGCAATGCCGATTTTTGAATGAAAATTGGCTCTCTCGTGCAATGTAGCATATTTTATCCTCCCAGCTACTGGATTTGTAGCTTTGTATTTAAGTCATGTTTTTAATGGTATGCCTCTGCCAGATAGACACTGGCACTTTAAATTCATATGTCTACAGAATTACCTTGTGCAATTTTGAAATTTTGTCACAGCTTTTGTAAAATTGTGACATTATTTGCCACCAAAATAACATTTGATGGGATCACAGTGAACTTTACCCATAATTAGTTCACCCTCGAGTCCACATGGGCATAAGCATAAGGATTTTCTCTTAGCCATTCCTGTGAAAACATGTTCACAAAAATGGGATGTACAGATCAACATATGAATGGACAAACGCACAAAAAAAAGCTCTCTTTGGGCACGATTGCCGCCAGCTTGGAGGCATAACAATGATTAATCACCAGTGATTTCCTTTTCCTTTTTCCATATGCAGAGTGTTTTTGACACATCAGATGGCTTGTTTTGCTTGAGCTGACTAGGCATCTTGTCTTCATTGTAATTCAGCATGGGCTGCAGAGGAGGAGGTGGGGATGCGATCGAAGGCTTTTCCAGCTGCACACTCTGCCCAGCGCTGTTCCACCTACACGTATTAATTTATACGAGTTGGCTTTTGATTTTGCCACTAGCAAACCGCACGCCTCCCTCAAATTAGGACAAGGGCCTTCAGCGGTCAGGGGAAAATGTGCAGGTTACTCTTGCATGTGGTCTTTAATATGCCAAGTCCAAGTCTTAAAGCTGTTGGAGTTGGCATGCTGCCACGTTTGAGTGCCACAATGGGGAAATGAAGCTGCTTCTGCATCTGTCTCATAGTGCATTCGATTGCTTACACCCTCTCCTAGCCTCATGTACCTGGCTCCCACTATGCTTAAACTGCAGAGACGCTGTCATGAGAAACACACATATTAGTAGCAAGATTACAAGAACATACAGACAAAGACAAACAGACACACACATACACACACGCACCTCTTCCCATTTGACCTTGGTCTGGTGGGCTGATACAGCAGTGATAGATTTTACAAGACTCATGAGGTAGACAGAAAGATCACTTAAGGACAGGGGAATAATAGCATTTGGCCTGCACATATGGCATTGAGGGAATACCCAAAGGATTGTCTCGGACTTGACCCAAATCCTCACTAAGACACAAAGTGAACAGTTTGACCTGTGCTTTCTCCCGAGCACAGTGGTTTTAACAGAATCATCCCAACCCTACTTGTGTTATGAGATGGATGAATTGTGTTAAATGCTAAAATGACCACAATTACAGTGCATTACTCTTTTCAAAATGCTGACATTACAGCTTGTCTTAGCAAAGCATTCAAAAATTGTTGTTTCAGCTCCTGAAGCATTTGCGTATCCAATTAAGTAATTTTTAATGCCTTGCAGCTGTCTGATTAAATAAAATTACTTTACCTTAATGTCCCTGATCAAACTAAAGGGCACCTGCAGTTGTTGCTGTGGGGTACTTTATGCCTTTCAGTAATCAGAAATATCATGTATATACTGCCAAAACATTTATATTTTGGGACTCGGATTTCCCAAAAAGCCCTCAAATAACAAACAAACAAACCATTCCTGGATGTATTGTTTAGTTTATGTAAGATTTTCAAGTGAAAAAAGAAATCTGTCAGCTATTCAAAAAGGATTACTTGATCTAATTTGCAAATTAAGTCCATCCATTTGCTTCCGCCTAACCTTATTAGGGTCACGGAGGGGCTGGAGCCTATCCCAGCTACCAGAGGGTGAGAGGCGGGGTACACTTCGGACAGGTTGCCCGTCTGTCGCAGTGCTAACTGCAAATTAAGTGTTAGCTTAATTTATAACATCCATAAAGCTTTAAACACTTCCTGAAACAGTCAAGCTTGACATTGGTTTACATTCATGTTTGTTACTTCACCATTTTTAAAAAGGTT